CTCTTTCCCCACCTCAGGCTTCTTGCTAATGTCTCCTTCTGCTCTATGCTTCCCAGTCAAATTGTCACTTTTGTTCAGTAAAATTCAGCAACAATGTCATCCAGACTTGCAAAGCTTTAAGTTTGCTGCTTCTGATTTCATTGTTAGGGCTTGTGGACAGAAACATTTTCTTGCTGTTTCACCCAACTTGTTGGCTGAACAATAAATAAATAAATCTTAATTTTATTCTGTCTGTAAACCTGTGGTTCTGACCTTATTATGCTCTAATTCTTATTCTTACAGTTTACTTTAATGTAAATTTCTCAATATCTGCACGGCACTTCTGTGAATTTGTTGTATCTGTGTGAGTTTCAGGAGCATTAAAAATACCAAGGAAGTGGAAAATATGTTTTTTTGAACTTTGACATCAAGTTGCATTCCAGGGTTTCTAAAGTTGCTTTGGAGAACTTGAGTAGGCTGAATTAATTAATCTTCATGTACTTGCCTTGAATTGTTTAAATACTGTGATATTAGGCAAGGATTATCAGAAGATTATCCAAGGGAGTTCAGAATCTGAAATCCAATCAAGTTCTTTGGCAATTATAAGTTTTGTTGGAAAACTCTAGGGTTTAGTCCCAACTTGCATTAGAGGATGTCTGGGAGTTTAATCAGGGTTAATTCCTGGAGACTACTGGGATCCTGCTGTACTAGGAGGTGCTGTAGGGAAGCCCAGCCTCATTTGCTTTTCTTATCACACATTCACTTTCTGAAGAGATGAAGAAAGAATTACAACATGACCTCTCCACTCCCCATGTTTGAGGCACTTTGCAGAACTCAGTCCCAGTTCTGGCTGGGGTGTCCCGGTTTGCCCTGCTGGTGCCTAGCCTAGACCTCAGATGCTGAGTCCTTGAATATCTTGAGTAAAGGAGAGAGAATGTTTGACTGTGTGAGAATTTGACAAGTTACTGAAGATTTGGTTAAATTCAGCTCCAAAAATGAGTGAAGGACAAATGGCACTGCAGCTAAATCTATATGACTGTCTGTTAAACCAGCTGTGAGGTGATCTATTTGGAACAAAACATGCTATCAATAATGTCAGCCTCTTTTAAACTCTTGCCCATGAATAGTTGAGGTCAGGGTTAGCGTACCACACTGGTGGAGGTGCCCAGACAAGAAGGTAACTTCAGATGCTGGAGGATATCCCAGCAGATGTCGTGTGGGGACTGTCCTTCTCCAAACAACAAGGTGGTGGGAGGGAGGATAGGAGCCACCTCCACATCTGTTGCAATTCCTTACTCACACAGGACCTATGGTGGCTTTGTGTTTCCCCTGCAGGAGTTTGCTTTGAGCATTACAAATGTTCTGTATAACATTAATGCAAAAGCTAAACTCAGATGCCCCTTGCTGTGGATGTGGAGCATGGTATTAACAGAGATGCTAAGACAACCTGTCATCTACTCTGCATGATCTTCCACTTTACATTTCAGCTCTGGGCTCGGCAGGAGCCGATGAAACATGAGGACATCCTGCCCAGCCTCATCGCAAAACCTCCGAGTGCCTGGGGTGATTCCCAGGGTTGCCTTCAGCCCCCGAACTCTTATAGAGTGCACTTTGTGCAGCTCTAATGCCAGTGGAAGGCAAATATTTGGGATGGGGATAGGAAACCACATACAGAGGTGCAGCTGCTACTGCTGGCAGGGCCTCTGCCCTGCAGTGCCTCCACACCTGACTGAGGTGGAGCCTGGGCAGACAGACCTCCAAAGGGGACCAGTCCCAGGGGAAGAAGGCGGCTCATCTCCCAGCCATACATCCTGGCTGTGAGAGAGTGAGAGAGCAAGGGGGACCACCTCCTCATCCAACTCTGCCGCCTCCTTGCAGGGTACCATAGGTCCCCTTCCCCTCTGCACCTCCTTTTGCCTGCTGCAGCACTGTTTTGCTTAAGGCCATTGACAGAGACTGAGCTCGTCAGGAGATGAGATTGTGACTAACAAAACAAAGAAAAATCAGCAGTTTAAACAGGGTTCAAAATATCCCTGCAGCATTTCAGAAAGGAAGAGCACCTTCAATGTGATATAAACTCTTGGGTGAATGAGGACGGTGTCATTTTTCTTTCATGGGATTGAGACATGTTAACAGTTTGTAGGACAATTTTTTTTTTCATTAATATTGGATTAAATAACACAAAAAAATGCATTCCCAGTCTGACCCTTTTAGGCGCTAGATAATCCCGTTTCTCTCATGCTATGACACCTTGACCCTGCTAGCAACCATAACTCATGCTGGGAGCAGCCCCTTTTCCTGGCAGAAGCGATGGCATGCAGTCGTGCTGGTGAGGGGCCAGGCTGCATGCAGGGTGTCACCCACCCCGCTCTGCTGTGTCTCAGGGGGTATTGCTAGGGCACCCCAGACTTTGCAGAGCCTCAGGTTGTTAAAGCAGTGCTCATGGGTGAGTTTTTTATGCTGTTCAACTACATGCTTGGGAGGACCTGCCTGCCCCGCGGTGGAAATCCTCCACCTCATGCTCAGAGCTTGTAGGTGTCTTGTCAGCTATTGTAGCGGAGAATAGATCCCAGCTGTAGCGAGAGGTGGAGAAAATACAGCTGAATAAATAGAGTAGTGAAACAAAACCTGTTTACCCTCCCCCGTGGCGATCAAGCGATGCTCTGTGCTATAATATAGGTGGTAAATGCAGTTTTGTCTCCTCAAAGGTAAGGTAGTTGGTACAGAAAGATTGTGGATTATGACCTTAGTAGTGCGATTTCTTAGTGAGCAGTACTTGAGCTACAGACACTCCTTAGCTATCCCTCCCTGAAGCGAAAAGAAGCCAGTGTTATGAACCCTTTCTGCTCTCCAAAATGGTCCCTTGAGTCTCCAGCTCATTAACACAGCATCTTGCCATGCCTTAAGTCCTGCAAAAGATTATTTTCTTTCAGCACTCACTTCACCACAAACCCACTGAAGGCTGTGGCCCCCATTCCCTCCACTCAGTGTGGAAATTTCACCTGCAGCACATGTCACCCTGCACCCAGGTGCTGCATGTCACATGGGGGCTCCTCTGCTTGTCTGTGCCCGGTGGTTTCTTGAAGTGATAGGACTAGCAGTGAATCCACAGTGCTACATCACCAACTGCTCAAACAAAGAGAATTTCTCCTCCCTTGGGCACTCCATCCTCCACTGTTGATGCTGTTTTCTCACTGCTGCCCAGCGCTGGCTGAAGAGATGCGGTGTGGAGTGATGCACAGTGTGAGACATCTGACCGGACTTTAAACTTCCTATCATGTCAGCTGCTAAACATTTTGCAAAGTTAAATTTATTTCCCTTACACTCATCACCCCTCTAACTTAGAATTAATTCAGGGACTAGCTTTTCCTTTCCCCCATGGTGTCTGGGAGACGTAGTACTAGCCAGTCCTTGCTTTTTATCGTGTGGCTGCAGGTCTCACATGGATGTCCGTGTGTTTGCAGGGTAGACAATTGCTGCACATCACTTGTATTTTATTATACTGGTAAGCCATTCAACAGGCTGCAAATCCTTCAGTATATTAATCCTGAACAGTGGGATCAGTTAGCTCAGATTAAGGCAAAAAAAGAAATCTAGTGGCTCTGAAGGGTCATAAATGCTACAGCGAGGCCTAAATTTTTGATCCCATCCTTGCTAAATTACATGTTAGCAATCAGTAATTGCTCTGAAATAATGCTACAGAAAAGTAAGCAAAGGGGGTTCTGTACAGCATATTGCAGCCCTGGAGGTCATTAGGATATCATATTCTCAATACAAACTTACACAAGACTCTGCTTCAAAACCGGAGAGATGGAGAAGCTAGAGCCAAACACGTATGGAGCTCCTGCTTCTGGTCCAGTTCCCTCATCCCATACATCACCACGGAAAACACTGGGGTAACTAAATCCACACTCAGTACTCACTCACCGTTACCAAATACTTCATGTCAGTCCTGAGGAACTTTACAGCCACATCCTGTCAATCAACCATCAGGTGTCCTCTCCACTTAGAGGTTGCATCATGCTTCATGTTATCATTGGTGATAAGGGCA